TGCTTCTGCATGCGGTGTGTCTTCTTTGCAATGAGCGGAAAGTAATGTGTGGGTCATTTCTCGGGTAGCTGAGCCTGTGATTTGCCTCCCAGCGGGAAGTCAGCCATGCTGAGCCGCTGGCGAGGCTCGAGCCTAGTATGGAGCTCATTAATGGACCACGACACTGGTTCAGGCCTACTGGGCTTTATCTGTGTCCAGCTATCTTTATGAGGACCAGGCTGAGTTTTAGACCACTGGAGTGAGAATATTTTGGAAGAGTGAAGACATTTTGGTCCTTATCAAAAGGCTGTTTTAGGGTTAAGACTCTGTTTTAGGATTAGAGTTTGTTTAGGTTTAGGTAAGGTGTTAGAAGTGAATGTCCTCATGAAGACAGCTGTGCAAACGTGGCTCTGTTTTCTTTGTTATTATGGAAGAAAACTGCATAAATGTCTTTTAAAACATGGTCCCACTTCTTGTGCAAGATAAATGTCACTGCAACATTATTCATTAATGGACAACAAGTATAGATATTCCCATCACCTGCTGTAGTCCGTTCTATATTAATTTGCATACCTATAGTATTGTGCAAAAGTCTTGAGCCACCCCTCAAGTCTTTGTATTTTACTAGAAAAATGGGATAAAGAGTTTTATAGTGATTTATCGTAACATGGCAAAATACTGGAAACAGTATATAAAGCAAAACAGAGTTTATGCAATACTAACGACCACCTTTACCTTTAAGACAGACAAACTCTCTTAGGCGAGCTCTCTTGTAATTCCTTTAAGTACTCTTCAGAAATAGTAGACATAGACACCCAGAGCTTTTCTTTGGATGTTTCTGCCCTTTTTCCCGTTCTCGGTCAAGAGGATCCCACAGTGCTTCGGTGATGTTGAGGAGGTCAGTCCATGACTGATGATGTTTATCTGTGTGTTTTCTGTCCGGATATGCTTTTGCTGAATTGGCAGCTGAAAATGAAGCCTTTGCCTTGCATGCTTGCTTTCAGTTTCAGCAATCTGATGGT